GAAGATCGTGGGCATCAAGTACGTCTGATGAGGCCGAGGCCGAGGCTGGGGAAGCTTTCGTGCTAGCGGCTAGTGATGATTTTCGCTGGGTACTGTGAGGCGCCCTACGCTGATTTTGCATACCTTAGCTTTCTGAGCGTGATCCACGAGCCCGGAACATTGGAAGCGCACCTGCACAGCTGGATGTGCTCGTGGATCAGATGGGTAGGACTCTCTATGCTCAATGCGTGACTGTAGTTTGTGGACAGGTATTGCTTTTGGTCACAACTCAAGACAGAGCTGGTTTTGTTTCAGAATGTGCTCATACTGTCGTTCCAGTTGTGTGACGCAGTGCGTAGAGAGCACTGTCGGAAAGATGAGCTCAAGTGGACAGGAAGGAGTTGGTTCAGAATGGTGCCGACGAATCTTCTATTCAGCTTTTCCTTCACATTCAGTTTCGCATGTGGAGAAAGCGCGTTTGAAGTGTTGGCTCACCAGATGGAAGGCCAAGTCCAGCATTGCAAGCTACTGTACTCTCGAAATGGGCTTGCCCAGCAGTTCTGGCTCGGAGCAGATCCAAACGCCCCCACGGAGCCAGCCGAGCGCCCCTTGGTGGAAGGTTATGCCGATTGGTCGGAGGGTTTGGTGACCTGGCACCTCAATACCCCGTCGACAGTGACGATTGAATGGCAGGTTTGGTACTGGGGGCCACATAGCAGCTGCCGTGCATGCATTTGTCTTCCGAGGATACCATGGCCCGACGCCCCATTCTGGCCGTTGCCCTCCTCGGGGCAGCTTTGTGCCATCCCCGGTGGCATTGCGCCGCAATCCATCAAGCTATCCATGAGAAGATAGGGACGTCGACATGTAATCTCTGAAATGCGGCAGTGCTAAGGTGCTTCTTTCGATTCACGGCTGGCACAAGCTTCATTGCGCCGAAGGCTGCAGGGAGCTGATGCCAATGACACCGCCCATCACCTGCACCGAGTCACCAAAGGTGCAGACGACCCAGAACTCAGTAGTCGAGACTCAGCAAGAGCAGCTGAAAGGCCGGTCGGGGTTTCGCCAGGCAGCGGGAGCCTTGCATTTGTGGGCCGTTGCATCAGAAGACTGCAGGTGTGGCTCTGGGACTTGGGGCTGGTCTGCTTACTGCCGAGCCTGCGTACGCCAACGCCCTTCCCCCGGCTCCGTGACAAATCTGCCAATCTTTCCTGCAGATGATCCTTGATTGCGTGCGGCTGAGGTGTGGGACGATGAGATCTTCCCATACTCCGTGACCATCAGCTTTGCCATCATTTGGGACCTGGGCCCAGCGCGCCACCACAATGGTGCCTGTGCAGCGGTGATGGTTTGCTGAGGGCATCATCCTGGGCTTTGTCCTGCTCCGGCTGCAGGAGGCCTTCCCGGAGTGAGTGTCCTGGCACTACAGCCGAAAGCCAGCCGAAAAGCTTGTTACACCAGTCACTAGTCTCAATCACGGACAATCTGGCATCTCAGGCGATCCGCATGGTCCACTGCGCAAAAGGCCCGCTGAGTTGGCCTGAAAAATCGGCTGATATAATTGTCCTAATCCAGGGCAGCTGCAAGACAGCTTTTTTTCCCAAGCGGCCACTGGCCTGAAGGCATAAGCCACAAAAGCGTGGAGTAGGACCATGCCAAGAATGGCAAGCGAACTGATCAAGACAGTGACTATGAGCGCGTCATGCAACATGTAAGCCCGACAGGAAGAATCAGGCCGCGGCGCCGCCGCATCCCTCTCACTGACTCTTCGTTAGCTCTCTGTTTGCTGCTGCTTTTCCTGGAGTTATGCACTTGCGATGCTATGTCAACCCCTTCGGAGGGAGGCGACGGGCACGTGGGTGGAAAAGGCATTCCATTCAAGACTGCCGCTGCAGCACGATGTTCCTTGTGCCTTTGCCTTTCGCTCCATGAGACGCAGTTCTGGCTCGGAGCAGATCCAAACGCCCCCACGGAGCCAGCCGAGTGCCCCTTGGTGGAAGGTTATGCCGAT